GGAGGGATAATTGACATTCTGGTGTTGATGTAGTTGATGTTTTACTTAAAGCTTTAAAAGAGTTCAAAATACTTTGTTATTTTGCTCTAATACAGGCAAATATGTTGTTTTTTTTTTTTCCCCAGAAACATTTCTAAGTGGATTTTAAGACTGCGAATTATATTTGCTCTGAAATATAATTGAATATACGAAGCAGGCACTTGTAAATTCTCATTATGGGTGAGAAAAGGGTAGAGTTCAAACAAAATGTAAATGTGACTTGTAATCACGAATGCTATGAGTTCTGTAGAGCAAGATGTGCATCTCATTGATCTGTGATGCTCGTCTTTTTGGTTTGCTTTGTCGGCAGCGGCAGTGTGGTCAAGGATGAGCGCATCCTATGGCTGCAGTCAGCTGTGCTCTGGCCCACCTGCTGGTCACTGACCCATTGCTGCATTTGGGTCTCTTTTGATCTTGGATACCAAAGATTCCTGCCTTTATTCTTTTCCTGGGTTAAACATCCATGCTTGAGATTGTACTAATTGTTGATACTGGACCACTCCATTTGGATATGTAGACTTTTAGAAGTGCACGAAGATCATTCAGATAAGGTATTCGAGTTCAGAATCCTTTTTTGGACTCTCTTAATGTGAGAATTAAGGTCAAGTATTCTTTAAAAAAAAAAAAAATAATCTTTTACTGCGTAGTCCATATCCAGAAAGCTGTTTGTAGGTTTTAGATAGTTCCTATGAATAATATTAGCTCTTTTCACCTATATAAGGATGTTTTTCAACTTGTAAAGAAAAGCATTTAGGCAAGCTAAACCTGATGAAAGGCTTGCATAGTGAGAAAGATGCAATTTTTCCAATTATACCGTTCTAATAAAGGATTATATTACTGTAAACCCATTTTACTTAAATATTTTGGGCACTGACTGGATATTGTAATAAAAGTGTGTTTAAAAGTGTGATTAAAAATAGTGTTTTGAAGGGGAAAGGTAACATAATCTCAAATCATTGAGGTTTGGGATTTTTGATAGTTTTTGCTCTGTATTTTCAGAGGTGATGACAGAAAGGTTTGATATTGTGCAAAGAGGTAGGAAGATGGTATTTAACAGATACCAGAGCTGTGCATGGTAAAGTGAGGAAGCATTTGGTTCTCAGTGCTGCAGTAAGAAGAGTGATGATAAAGAAATGATGTGTAAAATAATCGTCTTTCATTTGCAGTTAACTTTTCCAGGGTTTTCTGAATGATCAGCTGAGAGAAAAATAATGTTGATTCCCAAAATGTATTTTGTTGTAGTTAATTGTCTAGTTACATTTTCTTCAGACCTAAAACTAAAATTCTTATATCTTGTCTTGTATTTCTACTGTGGAAGTTTTTAGGGAATGTTTACATTTAATAGAAACCTTTGCATTTTTCCAGCATCTTGATATGAAGTTGTGATAGCGCACTTTGAACTTCCAATGAACATGGAAAATGTCCTTGCGGTAAAATTGATGTAAAAAAATTTTTTTTAAACTGTGTGAAGTTGTTTGGGGGCAATGGGAAGAAGCCTAGGTTTCCTCTCCTACACTGTTAGCATGGTTAAGAAGCTAAAAAAAAGTCAAGATAACTGATGGTGCTTGTGTTGCAGAGATTCTGTTTATCGCCCAATGTGAAGTTGAACACAGGGTTTTACAAAGAGTATGTATCTGCTTGCAGGTCTTGCTGTACTGGTTAAATACGTTATTATCTCAAGTGCTCATCATTGTCAAAAAGCTGATGTAGCGCAACCATCCATGGAGTTCTGCAAAATCAATAGTTTGAATGGGCTTGCGTCTGGTTCAGGCAAAATTAACTGGGCTAACTAAAACTGCAGAAACTAACCTGACTGACCTTTCATGAAGTGAACTGGGAAGCTCTTAGATATGTGCTCGGCCAGCAGAACTGCAAGGCAAGAGCAAGTTGGTGCAGGAAGGGGGATGGGGATAGTGACATTTTGACTCGGCACCATTCCTTGTGGCGAGAGCAGCTTGTGTGCGCTCAGAAAGTGATCTTTTGCATGTAGGAATACCGCTTGTTTTCATAAAAAAGACAGTCCCTCCCCGATTTTTGTTTGTTCTTAGCAATGCACAAATGTTTATAGGAAGCAAACCAGTGAATCATTAGAAATGTTCTTTGTACAATGTTTCCTTAAACTGCAGGCTCATGGTGTGCTGGAATGTGAGGATATCTTTGTGGCTGTTTCCTTCATCGGTCTGATTCTTTTGAAAGCATCTTACTCTGCTTGTATTTTCCATACTCGAGGTTTACAGAAAAATGTTTATACTACAGCTTCAAACATGTACTGAAATGCTAGAAAACCTAAAGAATTTCTGTGGATTCCTTATATTAAGATCAGATGTGGGAATGTCACATTGAATATCTGCTGTACAAAACTCAGATGATTTTAATGGAAAATAAGAATCTGAAATGGTATGTGCCTAGCAGCAAAATAAAAAAGCAGGGGGAAGGGAATGGACAGAGAGGACTATATAATGGGCCAGAATTACACCTTGGTGGTTACAAGTCCATTTCTCTGCTGTGCTGACGGAGAAAATAATTACTGCATTTATGTCTTTTTCAATGACGTGAAACTAGTTTCTAAAGTGGAGTATTTGATAGCAGCCTGCAGTGCAAGCAGCACAGTAATCCATCTGATCAAAATGTCCTGTGGAAGGAATGAGGCAGTTTCAGCTGCAGGGCAGTTTGAACAGAAGTTTTTAAAAGTGTGTAACAACACTTAGTACGTTCTTAATTTTTCAATAATAATTAATCTGTCAACTGAAACTTGGCTTTCATTGATTTTTATTGCTCTAAAAGCTAGCCTAGAATATAAATAGCATTAAGATTAGCAATCTAACTGAAGTTGATGGAGAAGTGCATGAGCAGAATACTGAATGTAAAGTATTATTTTGCATAAGAAAGCTTATTTCATCGTGAGTCAAAACAAATGGATTTCCTTATTAAGGCTAATGGTTATTGAAACAAAACTTATTAACTTTAGTAAAAAGCAGTAAAATGTTAGAATTCCATAGTTAATACCATGTTGACTT